CCCCGCTCCCGGTGCCGTCCTCTGAGGTAACGCTACGGCGTGAGAGGAGAAGGCGGGAGAAAGGGGAAAGGCCGCCCCGGAGTCAGGATTAGCGGCGTGTGACCTTGATTCCTTTTTTTTTGTTGTTATTATTCTTTCTTTCTGAAGTGACCTTTAAAGCACAAGTTGTTAGGGGAAGGTTTAATAAATAATTCGGCGTTTCAGCGTCCGTGCGCGGACGTAGTTGCAGTTCCCGCTCCCCTCTCCCGTCAGCGGCGTTGCTGATCCCAAATTAAATCTCGAGGAGGGATAAGTACTTTGCCCGGGTTTCATTTCATCTCTGTTTATTTTGCTTAATTAGCATTACGGTGCTGAGAATGTCAAGGGCAAATGTTTTGGTTAGTTATTAAACGTGGGTGCTAGTGTGATTCGCTGTCTAAAGCAGCTCTCCCTCTTAAGACAGAAACACACGCAGACACAAAGATAGAGTACAATATCCATCAAGGATTATTAAAAAAGAAGAGGAGGAAGATTCAACCCGCAGATTTTCAAGTGAATGCTGCTAGTTACATTTGAGGAAGAACTGTAAAATGGGAAGAGAAAAATCAAGCCAGGAAAGCCCATCACCTAGTGAAGAAACAGAAAAAAAAATCTGTTCCATAAATGCTAATTATCCCTATTAATAGTATTTAGCCTTTTTCCCCCCAAAGCTTCAGTTTTCTTTCTAAGATCCTGATCTTTCTTTCTTCTTACTATAGGAATGTGCTCATTAATTTCAAAAGGATTAAATCCTCATGGTTTACACAACTTTCCTCCAAGTTTTGATTCACTCTGTTCATAGTCCTTTAAGGCTGAAACCGAGGGAAAGAATATTATTTACATTGCAAGCTCCTCGGAGCACAAACAGCTTTGCTCTTAACAGCTGCTCCTAGGAGTTAGCATATGAGGTCTAGTCCTGGTTTCCCAGCGGTATCATGTTAGAGAACATTCACATGTATTGCAATAATTTCTCCTTAAGTATTTAGGTGCCGCCTCTGTTAAAAATAGAACAAGAAAAGCTCAGTACCCTGATAGAGTGCATATACAAACCGTGTGATGGTAGCAGAAGTGAGGTGTATTTCTAAGGGCTCTTAGCCATAGGTATCTGTGAATCAACGAACACCAGTCTGTCATTAATCCCAGAGAAGAAACACATTTCCTTGACCTGTTACTGCTAGAACTTGGAAGGAAATTAGATGTTTGGGTTTGGGGTTTTGTGGGGGTTTGGGGTTTTGGGTTGGGGTTTTTTTTTTTCCATGTCTGGTATTATTTCAGTAGGTAGGTACCAGACATTAATATGTTAGCCAGTTTGTTTGTTTGAGTCATGTTTTTATTGCCTCCCAATAGTAAAATGTTAATTATTGGAAGAACATAAGAAATATAATTAAAAAAATGAGAAAGGATTTAAAAATTGATAAAGAGCATAGGTGTGCCAAGCTAAACACTCTATCTCAAAACTGTATGAAATGCAGAATCATGGTTCTGTTCTAGTATTTCATAAAAAGGAGGAGAAAATGTCAACAGTTTACTAGTGTATACGAAAACTTGGGATATTACATAGAGAAATAGCACTGGTGCCTATAGTTAATGTTGCCAGTACTTTCTGTACAACACTCAATTTGTTTTTACTTTATTAAACCTTTGCTCTTTGGGCTGGAGTTGCCTCTGCAAGATACCTGCCTCAGGTTGATTTTTTTTAATTTTTTTTTTTAAGTTCCAGCTAAAGTTCAGTCATATGCAGCCTGAAAAATAGATACTTCCACTCTCTACAAAAAACAAAGACATCAACAGGTTTCTCAGTGAAAAGCAGAAGATTGACATACAGCCCCCCAAACCACAAACCCACCTGCAACCTGCACAGTGCACTGCAGTTTGCTATGCTGAAGAGAGATGTGTTTGCATCTTAAATTCTCCAAAGATTTCATCTATAGCAAGTGCGCTGCATCCATTTACAGCTTCTGTGTCGGAACGAATGGTGTATCAGCAAATGGATGCTTGGATGTGCTCCAGCCTCTGCCTCCTGGCCACCTGCTCTTCCTGAAGGACCTGGGACAGCCTGCTCTGGGCGTGAAAAGGAACAGGAAGATGTCCGTCCCCCCACCTCAGAGATGTTCTGCACAAGGAGCACGGGAGAAACAGCCCACGTGGCGGGACCGCTCGGTCCTATGGCACCATCAGGCGATCAAGAGTTTAAGGGTTAGGAAGGCAGCCTGGGCTTCACAGAGGGCAAGGACGGCTGGAGAGGAGGAGCCAGAGATGGCGTAAATGTACAAGCAATGATGAAGTGAACAGAGGCAAAATGGGAAAAGACAGCAAGGGAAAAAACGAAATGGCAGAGTTCATAACAAAGTAACAAGCTCCATTGCCTCCGAAATTTGTCTTTGACTTAAGGAGTACTGTGACCATCTTTCTTCCTTTAGTGGATGGATATGAAATCAACTGGAAAAGTCTCTGCCCTGCCTCCCGGCGCGACCAGTCCATGGAAGGAACAGCGACTGAAACTATTAGTTAAGTGATAAGGATGTCCTCTGTGTCACTACGAAGACCTGACCTTTGCTGATGACATAAGTTGCGGGTCAGTGTAATTTCACACAACATGCATTTCCACTGTACAAATTACTCATTTTTGAAGTGGCTGAATGACTTACCTGGATTCAGGTTTGGAGCTCATGTTGACAAATGAAATTGATTACAAGGATGTTTTTTAACAGGGAAGATATTACGAGCTTGTTAAATAGTCCCAAATGTCAGGTGAAAAGCACCCAAATTTCTCTTACCATCAGTGGGCATTTTCAATGAATCTCCATCAGTCTGTACATGAAATCCCTCTTAGGAAAAAAATGTACCATCTTCAAATCTGACAGAGATGTTCATTACTGTTTATGAGAACACATATGCTAAAGTCAGAAAGACCAAAGAGGTATCCCAGGAGAATTAATATGGTTGTATTCAATAAAAAGTAAGTATGGAGGTAAAATGCAATAAATAAATAGTGAAGCTTCTAAGAAGTAATGACTGTCTGCTTCATTTCCTTGGAGAGGCAGGGATCCTCTAGAAACATAGCTCATGCTCATGTATTAAGTTAGAATGCCACCATTAACATTATTCAGTACATATGTAGAAACAGCTGAATTAAATCAGTCTAAATCTTGTCATTTCCAGACTTATAAGTGCAGCACTTCGGAACAACAATATCTTTTCAAATACAATATGTTATTCCACATGTAACTTAAAATAGAATAATTCTAATTTAAAGCATTTTCAATGAGTAGTATCTTTTAAGATACTTAAGGATGTTACAAAAGCGAACATTGTAGTTAATTTCTAAAATGACACCCTGTTTCTCAACAGAGGTTTTTTTTCTTGGGGTATCACTATAGCATCAGCATTTACCCTTTCCCTGTTGTTTTTTTTCCAGTTTTTGTTTTGACTATTACAACTTTTTTTTTCCCTTCCTTTCTCTCTGACTTCTCTATTTTTCTTTTGGCACTCTGTCTCTCTCGTTCATTGTACCACTACATCCATAGGCCATAGACTCAAAGAATAATTTACTCTGGAAGGTGACCTTCAGTGGCCATCTAGCCCACCCTGCTGCTCAAACCCAAGTCTTATAAGATCAGGTTGCTCAGGGCTGTGTCCACTTGAGGCTTGAACATCTCCAAGGATGGAAATCCCACAGCCTCTCTGGGCCCTGGTGCCATGGTGTTTGAATGCCCTCCTGGTAAAAAAGCTTCTAATATCTAATCAGAATTTACAGTGTTCCAACTTTTCCCTGTTGCCTCGTGTCCCACCACCATGCACCTCTGTGAAGAGTCTGGCACCATGATTTTTGTGTCCTCTGGTCAGGAAGTACTAAGATCTCCCTGAGCCTTTACTTCTCTAGGCTCAGCAAACCCATCTCTCTCAGCTTCTTCTCATACATAGAGTGCCCTGACCATCCTCGTTGCCCTGTGCAGAACTCACTCCAGTATGTCAATATCTCTCCTCCACTGGGGAGCTGAAATTCTGGACAGAGCACTCCAGAAATGGGTCTACTCCAGAAATGGTCTCACAAGTGCTGAATAGAGGTTGTGGATCACCCCCCTGGACTTGCTGGTTACATTCTTGCTAAGACAGCCCAGGATGCTGTGAGCCTTCTTTGCTGCAAGGGCGCATTCCTGGCTCTTGTCCGGCTTGCTGCCCACCTTGACCACTAGGTCATTTTGTGCAGAGCTGCTTCCTAGCCAGTCATACCCCAGCCTGTACTGGTGCGGGGGATAATCACCCCACCCTGGACCCCGCAAGGTGCAAGATTTGGATTTGCTTTCTTGCACTTTGTGAAGTTCCTGCCAGACCATTACTTCGGCCTGACCAGGTCCTTCAGAATCCCAGTCCTGCCCTCCAGTGCCTTGGCTGCTCCCCCTCCAGTTCAGTGTTCTCTGCAAATTTGCAGAGAATACCTCTCCTGCTGTCATCAGTCACAGCTGCAACAACTGTATGCCTAGTCAAGGGTCCTTCCAAGTCGAAGAGCTGAAGAGATTGGCCTGAACATGATAGACACTGCAAAAGCAAGACTGAGGGAACAAGACTTTTCCCCCTTCAGCCACAAACCAGACTCTTCCATGGGACCAGTAACAAGCCGTCGAAGCCCAGTCCCATATGTACCAAGCTGCCTACTGCCTCTATTATCAATTCTTTTTAGTCAATAGGAAGAGCTGTGTGGCAGAGGTCCCCTGAGAAGGTTCCAGCCCTGCAACCTTTAAACAAGTATCCATGCAAGCAAGACGTTGATTTCTGTGGTGCTTCTTCCATTATGCATAGTACGTTAGGACAAGACTCTGCGATAATAGCAGTAGTACTGAGGCAGCAGTTCAGTTATCTTTCCCTGAAGTGGGTTAGGGTCTGAATTATGCATGGGTTGAGGTCGCTGCTGCTAGCATGCTTGGGTTTAAATTGGATTTTAAAGCCAAATAGCACCCAAACTG